ATTATATAACTTGCTGTTTTGGTCAGCAGCTAAAATAATAAAAACTGTGCCTGTGTCCAAATATATATGGACCTGACTGTATATCCGTATATATATACAAATTTTTGAGCAAAGGTGCATTTAATTGATCAAAATTGACAAATATTTACATATAACCAAAAGAATCCTGAAAAAAGGCATTACAGATTCCACAAAAATATTAAGCAGCACAATTGTTTTCCTAATTGATAACAATAAGAAATGTTTTAGCGCAAAATCAGTATATTATAAAGATTTCTGAAGGATCATGTGACTGACAAATGGAATAATTTATCTTTGTAATCACAGGAACAAATTATATTTTAAAATATATTTAAATAGAAAACAGTTATTTAAAATTGTAGTAATATTTCACAGTATTACTTTTTTCTGTTTATATATTCTAAAAGATATTTAATACTTCATAATACAATACCCAAAAGTCCTATAAAATACTGAAATGCAGTACCTTTCAGAATATATGCATATATATGCATTTTTTTTAATTAGCATAGTAGCATTTCACTACTCTTCACAGACCTGTAGACATCTTACAGTGAAGTTAATCTTGTTCCTCTCTCTTTCTCAGAAACATATATGATACCTAGTGTGGTGAAGGAAGCCTCAGGCCTGTACACCATGACCAGCACTCTGTTCATGCAGCCGGTTAAAGCCGATGCTAAATCTGTCTTCCACTGCACGGTGGAGTACAGCATGCCAAACAACCAGATCAAACAGGAGAGCTCCGATAAGTTCAACCTCTCGCTGCTCTGTGAGTCCGACGTGCACACACTCACAATGTGTCAACTGTATGCTCATTTACCTCAAACTCCTCATCCTGTGCTCTCCTCCAATCAGATTCAACAGAAACTGTGTTCTTCAAACTGAAGAATCAGGGGCCAGTCAAAGAGGGGGATGATGTGCTGATGGAGTGTGAGACTGATGGAAACCCTCAGCCAGAGTTTGAATTTTATAAAGAGGTGAGAGACCATTCATGCCAAATCACAACCAAATGATCTAGCTGACGATATGATTCTCACTCATGTATTTACATACTCACTCATAAGGATGGAGAACTGGTAGCATTGAAAGGAATGCTAATAGTGAAGAATGTCACTCGAAAGGATGCTGGAATCTATAAGTGTGAAGCTCTGGATTTTGACGCCGAAGATGGTGTTGAACTTACCAAAACTCTTAGCTTAAATGTGCACTGTAAGTATCAGTCCTAGACACTATAATAAATATAATAAACTGGACAAATTGCTAAATAAAACATAAATGATCCTTTCTTAACCTCTGCCCTCCTTCATTACCAGTGCTAATTTAGACAAGCTTTACAGACCATCTCACTGGAATGAAAAAGAGACTGAATAGCGTGATTAAGTACTGTGGCGAAGGCAAATATTTAAATTGGGGCAAATGCTTCTCTTTCATCTTCTTTTTGTATTGTTAAGATACTATTATAGTATTTGTTAATATTTGAAATTAGATTTTATTTGGATATTTTTATTTATTTTAGTTAATTTAGTTTTTTAATTTTATGTGCTTTAGACATTTTTTTCTATTTAGCTTTAATTTATTTTTATTTCAGTTTACATTTTGGTAATTTTAGTACTTAAACCTATTTTAGTTGCCAAGGCAACATTTGTAATTTTAAATCTAAGTTTTTTTTTTATCTAGTATTTATATTTTATTTTAGCTTTAATTCGATTTTTTTTCCGAAAGATTTTTCATAGCTTCATTTTAGTTAACAATAACACCACTGCGTCTCATCATCCACTTAAAAGAGAAGAGTATCATTTGAAAGCAATTACAAGTGAACGATTGTTCCTAATGTTTCTGTAACACATTCGCTCTAATATTGTAAACGCTTTAGTTCTTCCAACACTACAGTGAGCTCAATATGTCAATTAAATTATGTTATCCTGGTAACATTACTTTTTAACTTAGAGCAACAGTTGCTAAGTTAGGATTGGTCTATAATGTTTTAGGGCGGGGCTTAGCAAAGGATCAATTGTTCAGGTTTAATTGATTTTTCCATCACCTCGGAGCTATATTCATCATTCTTTTGTCACTGTCAGATCTTGACCCCGTGGCAGTGATTCCAGAAGGCCCATTGCTTGCTGCTAAAGGAGATATTGTGGAGCTTCAGTGTAAGACCAAGTCCTCTGATGAATACACCCTGCAGTGGAAAAAGGCATGTATCGATTTCAACAAGCCTCCATCCCCATGCCAATTTTTCCTCACTTTTTTCTCTACTGTGATGTTTCTCTCTCTCTCATGTATATATATTTCTCTGAATAATGTTCTATTAGTTCTTATGGTTCTACGCTGTGTCCACCTTTGGAGTTTTACATTTTTTTTTCTTGTCATTTTGGCAGATAGTTCTCCAAAAACTGAATATTCTGCCATCATTTTCTCACTCTCTTGTCAATCCAAACCCATAGGATTTAGATTAATCTTCCCCCATTGAAAGTCCAAACTTAAACGTCCAATAAGGCCATAAAGTCTTTGTAATGAATCCAAATGAACCAAGTGGTTTAATCCAAGTCTTGTGATGAGATATGATTGCTTAATATAATGAATAGGTTTTATTTAGACTTATATTCACATATAAACACACAGCATACATAGAGCATATTACATATGGAAAACATGAAAGTCATGCTAGAACAAAAAAGTCAAGCACTAGAACAAACAAACAAACAAACTTCACAAGACATGAATTAAACTGCTACAATGACTTAATGACCTTTTCAGATCTTCAACTATTTGGTTACCTGGACCTTCAATGGATGCACAGAAACCTCTGAGATTTCAAATAAAATATCTTAATTTGTGTTTCAAAGATGAACCGAAGCCTAATGGGTCTGGAACGACACAAGTGTGAGTAAAACATTGGAAATAGTGATCTAATTTGACTCAACATCTCATTTGATCTCACTGTACGCATAGGACTCAAAGGAGCTGTCGCAGACGGGTGTGTTGACTCTCCAGTCAGTGACTCTGGCTGACGCTGGCGTGTATTTATGTGTCGGAGCTGTACCTTCAGTGCCAGGTCTCCAAAAACAAGCCAATGTCACCCTTACCGTCACAGGTACTAACTGCAAACACAGACACACACAGGAAGATGAACCGAAGCCTAATGGGTCTGGAACGACACAAGTGTGAGTAAAACATTGGAAATAGTGATCTAATTTGACTCAACATCTCATTTGATCTCACTGTACGCATAGGACTCAAAGGAGCTGTCGCAGACGGGTGTGTTGACTCTCCAGTCAGTGACTCTGGCTGACGCTGGTGTGTATTTATGTGTCGGAGCTGTACCTTCAGTGCCAGGTCTCCGAAAACAAGCCAATGTCACCCTTACCGTCACAGGTACTAACTGCAAACACAGACACACACAGCTTTATAGTGGTTTATCAGTGCAAAGTGTCAACACAAGCTGTCATCAGTATCAAAGCAGCTTGCTTTCAAGAGATAGAACTAAACTATGGGCTGTCAACAAACTGTCGACGCTTGCTGTTATACCAGCTGCTTTCCGTAGTGTGGATATTATGTTTAGATACAGGTAGGAGTTCAATGCCATAAGAAAACAGTAAAGTGTGTTTGTTTTCTGCTCAGAGTAACCAGTCAAGCTCAATTGTAAGTAAAAACACAATTCAAAATCTACATATAACATGATGTGAAACAATATTATAAACTTTTAAAGACAAACCACTTAGGTTGTTAAACGATGGTACTGTTCAGTAAGTCAGGTCATAAGTCATTTATAATTGTCTGTGTTACCACGGAAATGAGAACAGATGCTGCATTCACCTTCTCCTTGGAAGTTCCTTCTTTCAAATCATGATTACGATATGATGTGCACTCGTGTGATTTTGAGTAATTTTTTTCAGTTTCATATTCTTCTCTCAAGTCAGGAAGCTTTTTAGCGCTAATGCACCGTAATGAAGAGTAAAGAATGCACATTAGGTGTGTAATTGATGCTGATCTGCGTGTTTTATCATTATCTTGCTGCCATAGAGGATGATGGGAAATGTTAGTCTGCTCATAAACCAGTTAAATGAGTTGGGTTGTCTGGCAGTAAACAAAATGCTTACAAACTAAATGGCACTGTCGACATTCACATTTACAGCTTATTATGATCCATAACAATTTGCTTCCACCACACAAATGTAATTTATTCACCCCCAACTCAGGGTGTAAACAAAATAACAAATAAGGTCCCAGACTTTAATTAAGCCACTCATGTACGTTAAACTTGTAAATACATTAATTCTGATAAGAATTCCTAAATGTGTAAAGAGTTGTAGTGAACCTAAGCTAGCTTAGCTAACTAATATGGGATGTTGTCGCATTAAAGGATGAAAGAGATGTTTTATAATAAGAAACTACATCAAAAGGACACAAAAAATTTTCCTTTTTCGAATTGTCATAGACATTTTGCTTCAAATCAAATGTTGCGATTCATCTCTGAGCTGTTTCTTCATTTGATTCAAGTCAATGTCCTGAAATACCAAAGGGAGATATATTTCCAAGGCCACTAACTATGTTGAACTAAAACCTATAATAAAACATAAACTTTTTAACACTTTGTCACCCTGCAGTATGAGACATACTGTATCACCAGGGAAGGTCTCGTGTATCTTATCTGTGCCATTGGAAAAACTTTAATTCTATAGTTTATTACCTGGTTTTGTTCTATATGCCTTCATGGCATTTATAGTATTCATGGGTGTAGTTCACACCTTTTCCTGGTTTCCAAGAAAGAATGGTGAGGCATTCATAACATGGTCCATGAATTCTTCCTTTGTTCTGAACACATGGAATATGATATCATATGAATATGATGTTTTACTGAATCCTCAGTAAGATGTCAAAAGGCAGACTTGTTAAGATCTGGTGGTAGGTTTAAAATAGAATCCTTGGGTTTAAAAGCAAATGAACTCAAACATTGGCCACTGATAATAAACATATGTTTTTGTTTTGAAGGTGCACCTGAGATGGCTGCTCCACTGAATGGTTTTGTTGATAAGGAAGGAGGGATGGTCACTCTCAACTGCTCAGCTCTTGGTCATCCTTCTCCACAGTTCACCTGGACACCTTCTGGCAAAGAGGTGCGTGAATGTGCTTCAAATAGATTAGGTTTGATCTTTAAATCAGAAAACTGTATTCGTTGTATTTTTCACCTGTGTGTTTGTGTGTAGTCAGTGACAGTAGTGGGAAATAAGGTTATCAGCACAGTCACTCTTGAGGCCTCGGCTGTGGTTCTGAAGGATGGTGTGATTTGTGAAGCATACAACAAGCATGGAAGAGACAGCAAGAACTTCAAGGTGTCCATCAAGTCAGGTTAGTGCAGCCTACTCTTACAGACTATGTTGGGACTGGAATACTGCACTCTAAAAATGACTGGGTTGAAAATAACCCCACTGGCAACCCAGTGCTGGGTAAATATAGGACAGAAAACACTGGGTTAACTTGCAGTTTTGTCTAGTTTAGTACATATAAACCAGCAGCAGGGTATGCAAAAAAGCACCCCAGCATAGTTGCTGTATACTGCTTTCTGGTTTTTCAGAAATTGATATGCAGAATGCAGGGATATACATTTCAGACAGTGCTTTTGTACATTGTCACATGACCTCATTATGTTGCATGGTTTATTCAGCCAGTAGAAACCAGATATCTCAATTATAGGAATGCTGTTATTATGAATTTTTTAAGCCCATTTTGTGTAAAAATGTCTGAATTTTGGCAGTCATGGTTAAAAAGTAAGTTGAGAAGATTTTAAAAATCAAGAATATTGCTTCCAGTTCATTTAATACACTGAAAAATGAAGGTTAAGTGCACAGTGGATTGTGAGATACCATATCTTATGCAGTGTGCTATGGCTGTATGCTGCACATTTTAGAAAATATAATTGGTCATCCTGATCTGATACATACTTTTTTGGAGGGTGGGATTATGGGCTAAGGGTTGTGACATCAATATCTAGAAACACTATGCTCATGAATATGAATTGATGTGCTCATTCAAATCTCTAGTTATGTTACCTAATTGATATTCATGAGCCAAACTATTCACCTTGATACTATTTATAATAGGATTACCTGTGCTTGAGTTGCATAGCCTTGTAGACACTTCTTTTAATGTGTTTTATGTTTTTGAATGCTTATGTTCACCAATGCTGCATATATTTGATCAAAAATACAGTATAAACAGTGAAATTGTTAAATATTATTTCAATTTAAAATAAGTTAATTCTATTTTAATATACTTTCAAATGTAATTTATTCCTGTGATGGTAAAGCTGAATTTTCAGCAGCCATTTCTTCAGTGTTAAAAAGGGTTGGGACAATGGTTATTAAGATTTTTGTGGAGGTCTTTTTCAGGATTTTTCATAAATAAAAAGTTAAAAAAGACCAGCATTTATTTGAAAAAGAAATCTTCTGCAGCCAATTTAATGCTCATTGCTGAATAAAAGTATCAATGTCTTTAAAAAAAACAAACTGACCCCAAACTTTTGAACATAGTGTATTTACTCAGATTTACTCAACATATCTCCACAGACTCTGATTTATACTCAAAATGTTACCCCTTCTCTAAATTTCTCTTAAGTTCTTTTATTTCCTCTGTACAGATCCAGACAAATCATCAAATCTCAATGCTGCTAACCGAGGTAGACACTTGTCCCAGCTCTCTCTGCTCCTCCTCTCCCTCTCAGGACTCTTTCTTGTACATACTCCGTGATCTAGCTTTCCAGCCCTTTACACTGTATATTATGTACTGTTACCAAACACTGTGTATATTGTATATTGTATTACGTATGTGATCTTTGTATGATGTCCGTCCTCTATTTTGTTGATGCTGCACCTTGAACTTTTCCCTCATTTGGGACAATAAAGGATTCTGTTCTATTTTACTTTCCTCTCTTTCCTTCCTCTCTGTGTCTGGGTGTTTGTCTCTTAATACTGCCGTCCATTCATCCTTGAGTGTGCTGTCAAGTGTTTAGCTCGTGCGGTCACTTCAGTGTGTGTATGTGTTTGTCTTCATCTTGGTGATGGGCCTCTTTGTGTGTGTGTGTGTGTGTGTATGTGGGTTAATGGTAAAGTGTTTTTTCCTGTGCGCTGTTCAATTGGACTCAACTTTCTCTTTCCCATAATGCTGCTCAAAGGAAACCCTGTGTTTAAAACAGGTCTGTATAACCCCTGCTGCTTTTCTGTCTTTGCGTGAGAATAAAATAGTGCATGTGTATGTATGCAATTGTCTGTTTGCTTACAGCTGTGAGATTGTGTGTGTTTGTATATCATTTGTCAAACTGTGACCTTATTTATCACTGATTACTTGGGTCTCGTTTTAATGTCGACAAAAGAACAATTGCTTATTGTTCTGGTTGACTTCCTCCCCACCCTTCTCAACACGCCCGTTCCCCCTCTGTGTTCCCCTTTCTCTTCCTCTCCCACCCAAACTCATCACTTCTTCACACTCGCCATTAACCTTCAGCTTCTCACCAACTCTTTTCTCGTTCGATCTTCTCAGCGGAGAAACAGCAGGGAGGTTCGGGCGCGGTGGTGATTGCCGTGGTGGTGTGCGTTCTACTGCTTCTCCTCCTGGTGGCTCTGCTCTTCTTCCTTAGTAAGAAGGGCAAGCTGAGCTGTGGGAAAAAGGACAAGAAGGATGTGTAAGTAGCATGAACCATGATAACAAACATTTGCAGGTCATGTGTTCACATTTGCATTTATTCACTTCATAAATTTGGTCACTTTCTCCTTCCAGGGCATCTGGAGAGGTGAAAGGTGGTATTGTGGTGGAGATGAAGTCCAGTGAGAAAGGCAATGAAGAGGCTGGTCTGCTAAACAAACCACATGCAGAACAGGTGAGGGGTCAAAGGCAAATTTTAGCAAGGTGGTTCTCAGCTGAACCACAGTACCACATTTTTTTTATTTTAAATTATACAAATTTCTCTAAATGATAGAAATCATCTTGCTGACAAATGGGCAAAATGGAAAAAGATTGGTAAAGATGTTAAATTACAAGACCTGTTGGCCCTGCGCTGTGATCCTTAAAGGGATAGTTCACCCAAAAATGAAAATTACCCCATGATTTACTCACCCTCAAGCCATCCTAGGTGTATTTGACTTTCTCCTTTCAGACGAATACAGTCGGAGTTATATTTTTAAAATGTCCTGGCTCTTCCAAGCTTTATAATGCCAGTGAATGGGGGTTGAGATTTTGAAGCCCAAAAAAGTGTGTCATTCCATCATAAAAAGTATACCACACGTCTTCGGGGGGTTAATAAATAAACTGGAGCACTTTTTATGATGGATGGATGTACTTGTTTGGGCTTCAATATCTCAACCCCATTCACTGCCATTATAAAGCTGGAAAGAGCCAACACATTTTTTTTATATAACTCCAATTGTATTCATCTGAATGAAGAAAGTCATATACACCTATGATGGCTTGAGGGTGAATAAATCATGGGGTAATTTTCATTTTTGGATAAACTATGTCTTTAAATGGACAAATAGTCTTTAATCTCAAAAATTGTATTACTTTACGCAGCTAAATGATGGCCAGTAAAAACAGTATGTTTTTTTCCACTTTCACAGTGATAAAAAACGAAGAAGAAAAGATACAAGTAAGAACAAGATCTCCAGAGACGTAGAGGATGGTGGTGAATTAAGAGTGCTCTGATGGAGGAGAAGAGAGGAGAAGGAGGAAAGAGAAGATGAATTCATTTTATACCACACGTCTTCGGGGGGTTAATAAATAAACTGGAGCACTTTTTATGATGGATGGATGTACTTGTTTGGGCTTCAATATCTCAACCCCATTCACTGCCATTATAAAGCTGGAAAGAGCCAACACATTTTTTTATATAACTCCAATTGTATTCATCTGAATGAAGAAAGTCATATACACCTATGATGGCTTGAGGGTGAATAAATCATGGGGTAATTTTCATTTTTGGATAAACTATGTCTTTAAATGGACAAATAGTCTTTAATCTCAAAAATTGTATTACTTTACGCAGCTAAATGATGGCCAGTAAAAACAGTATGTTTTTTTCCACTTTCACAGTGATAAAAAACGAAGAAGAAAAGATACAAGTAAGAACAAGATCTCCAGAGACGTAGAGGATGGTGGTGAATTAAGAGTGCTCTGATGGAGGAGAAGAGAGGAGGAGGAGAAAAGAGAAGATGAATTCATTTTAGCTGTACAGTTTTCTTTTTGAAAGATTGTGGGAGGGGCTATGATGTTGAACTGAGGGTGGGTTTCAGTTTAGAAGTGGGAGGGGCAATAAATGTAAATCTGGCTTTTTTTTTATATGGTTACATACTGTGTCCTGATTGTGTAATCAAGCCAGTCTTTGTAGTACAACTCTATTAAATAGAGTGCAGCTTAATGCAGAGTTCTTCTACCCAAAACAAAGCAGAAAATTCACTGTGGACACTAGATGTTGCTTTTCATGCTGTGCTGCACCCTGGTTATGTCGATTAGTTTATGTTATTGAAATAGTGCAGTACAGCCTCTTTTTGCATTACAAACGGCACTTACTGTGTACATTTTTGATTGTGAACTGCACACGTGCCATTACCCTGATTAGTAAACCCTATACAGACCACTATATGATTTGGCCATGATCTGCATGGAGCATATGGATGTGCCATTATACACACTGTCCAGCTGTTCCTTTCAACGCCTTAGATATTTTAGACCATGTCCCACACCTGTATGTTTTGAGCTATAACCAAAAGCCAGAGGTGACGGAAAATAAATAGCGTGTGTGAGAACCCCATTCAAACCATATATCTGAATGCATGGACCCATTCAGCTCAAGTCTGAGAGTTGTGGAAGAGTTACAGAACTAACTCAATCATCTCATTTCCTCTGAACTGCACTGAATTCCATTCGACAGCCCAAACATGTTCAAAGACTTTAACCTAATGCTGTAATTATTACACATGGGTTAGTAAGAGGACAGGTCTATCGTCTTTTAAAATGCATCCTAATGGGATGAATCATTCAGTTTTTTATATAGTCTCAACTCCACTATTTTTTTTGGATTATTAAAATGCTGAGCGTGATTGGAAATTAACTACACACTGAGCAGAAATCAAAATGAACATACTGTCCCAAAATACTAGTCTGTTTGAAGTTTTTCCAACACTGTTAATATCACTAAGTTTTTCTTTATTTATATTTAGAGAAACATATCAAATTAAACACTTCCAGCCTTTTCTTAAAGCTTAAAAGTTTTTGCTCTCTGTTTAGTTATGTGAAACCCCAAGTCTTTATACTTTCATAATTCACACAACAACAAATTCTATCATCATTTACTCATCCTTATTATCGTTCCAAACCTAGATGACTTTCTTTCTTCTGTGGAACACTGCTTTTGTACATAATGAAAGTCAATGGATTCCAAAACCAAACTGGATCCCACTGATTTTCACTGTAAAATAAAAACACTGAGAATGACATGAGGGTGAGTTAATTATGACATACTGGTAATTTTCCTTTTTGGGAGAACTATCATTTTAAATTCTGAGAGCAAGGAGATAAACATGAAAACTTGGTAAAAGTTGAAGGGCAGGGCTGGAACTTTTCCACTGTTGTCACAGAGTGGCAATCTTTTTTTGTTATTTATCAATATTGTTGTCCATTGCCTCTTTCACTTTGTTTTTTTTTTAACCAAAAATATGAATGAACATGGGGTGTAAAAATGATTTTGTTAAGCTTGTATATGGCGTTACAGGTTTCTGTGTTTTGCATATATATGTATTCTGTATCTTTCTCAGTAAAAGCACACTGTTGTTCAGGTGGCACAGCTGGAACATTCTAGAATCACTATGTTGTTGGAAAACCCTGTCATTTTTTCCCAGGCCCTACTGTTAAACAAATCTGTGAGCCTTGTTATTTGCTTCAAATAACAGATTCACAATCTGCTGTTCTTAGAGTCGGGTCTTCTGCATGTCAGAGCAACACCCAGGGACAGTTTTTCAAACATTTACGCAATTTCTGAATATGGTCACAGACACTTATACAGTATACATACAGTGTTTCCCTGTACCAACAAAACAGTGATTCTAGAGTCTCTAAGCAGCAGGTTTGTTACAATTGGATGAGGGTAAAAAGAGGACTGAGGAGAAATGAGATGGATAGAGAGAAGGAGAGGGCTTGGTTTGGATATAAAAACATTTTTTTATCTACTGAGTCTTTGTGTGTAGTTGAGAGTATTTTAACGAATCAGTATGTATTAATTGTCCAGTAGACACATGGAACATGAGCTAAAATATCTCTGAAAATCTCAAACACTGGAAAATGTATGATGGCCCGTTTATGAAGGCCTCTGTTTTAGACTGCTCATAGATCATTTTTTACTGTTATCTTGATGCTCTTTTTTACATTTACTGATTTCATTTTGCAAATTGTAGTCATATGTTCTGTCAATGCAATGTGTGATTTATAGTTATGGTCAATATTTGCATACAAGTTATTTGAACACCCATTTTCTAGAATAATGTGTAACAAAAAAAAAGTTTTCTTAAGAATACGTGTCTTAACTACTGAATGATTTAGCAATTTTGCTGGTTTTGCAAGAAAGAAGAGCGCTGTTTTGAATAAGATTCTTATTCTGTACTTTATGGATGTCTGCAATTGTTTGTGCCCTCCAGGTATACTGTATATTTGTGGTATGCATTTGTGAACTTTGTAGCTTGTCTTCTTCTGATTGGAACTGTGTAGAGTTTATACTGTCAAACAACAACAACAACTACTACTACAACAAATCCCAAACTGACTCTTTTTTTGTGTGTCTAAAATTACTGTAACCCTCAGGTAAATTTATAATTTAAATAGATAAACCAGTTGAGTATGTTAAGCATTTTACTCACCTTCTTAACATTCATCTCGAGTTTCCCTTTGGGATTTCAGTCTTTGTTCTCTACTTCTAATGACAGTTCAGATTTAATAGACATTAATCTTTTGGAACTGTCAGGTAAGTGACTATGTCATGTGTGATCATGTTAATCGTTAAATGATAATGCGAAACTACCGAAATCCCAAACTGACTCTTTTTTTGTGTGTCTAAAATTACTGTAACCCTCAGGTAAATTTATAATTTAAATAGATAAACCAGTTGAGTATGTTAAACATTTTACTCACCTTCTTAACATTCATCTCGAGTTTCCCTTTGGGGTTTCAGTCTTTGTTCTCTACTTCTAATGACAGTTCAGATTTAATAGACATTAATCTTTTGGAACTGTCAGGTAAGTGACTATATCATGTGTGATCATGTTAATCGTTAAATGATAATGCGAAACTACCGTAAGGGATTTCTACATGTAAAGACAGCAGGCTATTATCTTTGAGGACAGATACACGCTTCCGAATTGAATGACATTTAAGTACGATCATTACATTATGTAATCAGATAGGCGTGGGGTTTGGTTATGTTATATTTGTGAGAATGAACCATCGTATTTAGTGATATTCTGCTATAGGAACCAATTGCCCGATGATTGTGTTCACACTGTGGTCGGCGAGCGTGGAACAACACAATGCGACATAGCCTACCTGGAACGCAGTTTCTTAATTTGTTTAATCTTAAAACCCAGATTTGTTTTTTCTCCGAACTGTGTGGTTTGTGAAAGTATGCAATTTATGTTGTAGGACAAAACGTGAAAGTCTCAAATCTCAGCAAGGTCAACCACAAAGATTATATTACTTGTAAAAAAACAACAACAACAAAGGAACCTCTCAAGGGTTTGGAGAGGGCCAAAAAATGTACGTCATGATTTAGCAACTCATTCATTAAATCTAAACATTCATTTTTATTATTATTATTATTATTATTTTGTAACCAGTTATGTAAGAAGCTCTTCACCATAGCAAAATATTTAGTAATGACTGACTGCATTTTACTGAGCTGTCAGAATGGAAGTGGTCTCATGCCTGTATTTTTGTCCCATTTTGCTCACATATGCAATATTCTATGCCATTTTGTACTAGTATACTAGTGTGTGTAGTGTAATCACGCTGAAAAACGCAGGTGTAGTGCACCGTACCTTGATGACGTACAGTATTTGATGAATTGTCAACGCTGACACTTCCTACACATTCTCAAGATTGTGTCTTAAAATGTAGGAAGCTGCCTACCTCACAGCATGTTTGGAAAAACGACACAGGCAATATGCCATCAAACCTTCACCCACAGCCTCGTTCATCCTTGCCCCGGCCTGCCAGGTGTCAGTCAAGGTGGTGAAATCCCTCCTGTGTTGAAATGTGCATGTAAGGCGATCATTTTAAAAATATGTACTAAGCCAGATACACCCTCAGGTGTGATTAACATTATTTGCTTGCACTGTCCATGTGAGTTTGAGGAATGAGACAGAAGCATCTGTGGATCCCTCTTAAATCATTGATTCTGACAGTTCAATCACTAACAAGAGCTCATTCACCTGTCAGACCAGCAGCACAGGAACAAATACATGTTAATGCAGTTTGATTTTGAGATGACAATAAGGATGGAAAATTGAAAAAAGAATTGAAATCATAATTGTTTCAGATAAGAAAAGACATTTGATAGGAATAGAAAGGACGTGTTACAATAGGCTGCAGCTGGACAAGATCTGTAGATGGAGAAAATTAGGAAGGATGCTTGGAGAATGATGTGAATAATAAGAGAGAGAAAGAGGGGATGTAAGTGAGTCAGCTATCAGATGCTCTCAAGC